GCTTTCGTTTAATATACTTTAGCTTTTTAAATAACAAAAAATATTTGTTTATACTAACTAAACTGTTTAATTGATATAAACAAATATTTTTTTATTTAAAAAATTGAAAAACATATTGAGAAAATATAATTAATTTTTTGTTATATAAATATTTGGTTACGGTCATAAAAAGTGCTAGCTGAAGGCACTAAATTTTTTTTCTTAGTGTAAAGCAAGCAAAAAATATTTCTAAAAAGGGAAATATGCTTGTGAAAATCTCTCTGAGAAAGAAAGTCTGCTTGTGATAAGAAAATATTTCTATACTGAAAATGACGTGTGTCACCATCCACGAGGCAAAAAGAAAGAAAAACATGGTGAAGGAGGGTACCCAGTCAATTTTTCCGCATCATATAACGATAACAGGTATTCTCGTTGCAATAACCGCTGTGACGAAAGAAGGAGAGACAGGAAACGAGGAGAATTTGTTGTTCTAGCTCCAAAGAATTGTGAAAACTGATCTCGCTCGTGCATCATACTTTTGTTCGATCGAGCCTTTCGTGCTTACCGAAATGAAATGTTGAACTCTAACCGTTCCTTTAAGCCTGTCTTCACTTTTGTCTTTAAATTGTCCCAAAAATTGTGCGATATTTCAGCTATGATCTATGAATTTTTTATGAACGTCCGTTCTGACGAATAGAATTTATTAGTAGGATGATATCTGCGATATTAATATTATATCTATATTAGAAGAAATCGGGACTGGTTATCATACAAGATCGATTGTTAAAAAACTGATAATTCAATCAGTATATGGTACAGCATTCTCTTCTTTTTATTATAGATTACTATAATATTACTGTAATATTAAAGTACTGTGCAAAATGGTTTGCTGCAAAAAAGCGTCATATATATTATACTTATAATGACTTTTAAGAAAATGAAATTGTAAATTTTTCTTATCTTCTTTTTTGGCAGTACTGTTCGTGATTTTTTGTTGCACAAAATAATATACCTTAAATAATAATTTTTATTGCAGTTAATTAATCATTATTGTAACAAAATTTATAAATATAATTTCTTTTATTAATAACGTATATGCGAGGAAGACCAAAATGAACAGAGAATTAAGTGATAGCTAATTTTAATCTCTTTAGATAGATACATTTTTAAAGAATATATTTATAAATATAATATGTCATTTAGATATATTATATTTTTTTCATTTTTCGTATAGAAATTATAATAAAAAAAAATTATATACGTTTATGATAAAAATAATTATCTTAATTGTATCGATACTATAATTTCTTGAAATATACATAAACCACTACTGACATTAAAATAAAGACTATATTTTTTATATGTTTTATTCATATAGAATATATTATTGCAATCTCCCCTCCCCCTCCCGAACAATCAACTTCAAGCATGGGGCTAAGTCACAGTTTCATTGCTTTATTTAAAATTAAATAACTTATTTGTATGATGTATTTAATATTTTTTGTAATATTTAGAGAGAGAGAGAGAGAGAGAGAGAAAGAGAGAGAGAGAGAGAGAGAGAGAGAGAGAGAGATGTAAGTGTATTATAACGTACAATGTTTATACAATTCAAAATCGTCGTTCATTTTTTTCTAAAAATAATTATTCAAAAACTGATTAGTCCAGATTTCTCTTGATTGACTTAATTACTTTTATCTCTCGCGTTTGTCTCTTAACTTAATTATTAAACCTTTGTGAATACAATTTATAGGCATATCGGATTCATATGTACGTAAAGACAATAAAGGTAAAAACTGTGCAAAATAGAGCAAAATTGAACAAATGTAAATCAATCGTGAAACACATTCTCGATTTAGATCAAATATAATAATAAAAAAAGTAATATTATAACTTCTAAAACTTATCATTGTTTACAATGGAATAAAATCGAGTTAACAAAAAAAGCAATTTCTATCAAATCTGAATAAAAGTTAAAAGAATTATATCAGTTTATACTTATTCAAAACAGAGCAAGAAAATTATTGATGCATCATTAATGGAACGAAAATAAGTGAATAAGTTTTTATTCTTCATTATTCAATTTGCAAAGAAGCGTACCTATTGAGAAATAATGGTAATCGCCGAAAAGCACCATCGTTATAATGCAATAATGATAAATCGTCGGACACAAACGAACAATTAATCCCGCCAGTATAATAAATAAATGTACTCACAGACCTGGATGCGCTGTCGCCATTTACCTACTGCTTCATCATTTCGGACATTTCCCACGCGGATGCTCATTCATTCCCGGCATAATTGCGAAGACGCAATCACAATTGTATATACCTTAAGTATAGAACACAAAAATCATAATATCATCTCATATAGCATAGAAGCTTGCAGTAACATTGCTGCAATATTTCCAATGGTATTGCAATATTTAAGGGACGTTGTAATATCGCTGGAATATTGGAATGACTGTGCTGTATAAGATGTTATCACGACCATTGTGCTGTTTGACTTTTTTCTTTTTCACCCTGAAAAGAAATAAATATTTGTTTGAATAGTTTTAAATAAATATTTACTAAATATAAACGTTATATTTATTTGATACAAAAATCATTAATTTAATTATAATTCTTTTATTAATTAATTTAATTATAATTCTTTTATTAATTAATTTAATTATAATTCTTTTATCGAGTAAATATTTGTTTACTGTAAATGTTTACTTAATGTTTACATATTATTAGGTGTTGGAATTAATTCGTAGCGTTTTTTAATGAAAGAATGTTATTTATTTCACATGAGCATTAAAAAATACATTAATGAAAGTACTTCCCATCACTTGTAAAACGCTACGAATTAATTCCAACACCTAATATTAAAAAAAATATGTATTAAGATTTAGTAAATTTTTTCAATGCAGTGAAAGAACGTAGGAGGATGAACGTTGGAAAGCTCCAATCGCAAATTATTACGTAAACAATTAAATATACGTTATGTTGGCTTGTTACGTACTATTATGGTGACATGAATGGGTTTGGAAAAGTACCTATAATGAAAGACCCTTCTACCTACAAACTTAAACAGCTTTGCCGTACTCCAATTAACGCGACACTATAATCTCCCCTCTCGTTTGGCTTAACGTGCAAAAGATTTGGTCGATATATTGATGATTAATTGTAGATCAATACACGATGGTAAATCGATGTACACTGCGGCTTTAGTCACTCAGTATATCCTGAATTAGACATAAATTGTAGATTGTGATGAGCTCTATTTTGTTTAGATGAAATCCATGGATTTGATGAAACGTAATTAATTTGCCTTGATTAATCAACTTTAATGTTCGTAACAAACACATGTGTTTTTTCGATAATTGCGATCTCCTTCGATATCACTGATAAAGTTTGGAAAATTTATGATATAAATTATAAAAGGTATTACATTAAAAAAATGAATTAGAATTATTCTTTGCTTAATAATTTTGTCAGTTTTTTAATGCTTTTTAACTAATGTTTTCAAGATCACAATTATATTTGATGTAACATTTTTTAAATGAGAGTAATGTAATTAATATAATCATAGGTGTAACTAGAATTTTGTTTAAAGGGAGGCTAAATTAGAATTAAAACTTCTAAATTAGAAAGAGGAGGAAGAATAACTATTGGATTTCTGTTTTATTATTATTTTTAATTATAAATTACTGATAGGTATATCATAAAATACATATTTAATTTATTAATTTATTTTATTTACATACATATTTAATTTACTAATTTATTTTATTTTTCTCTTAAAATTGTAAAATTGATTCTTTGAACTTTCTTAGAGGGAGGAGGAAGGGAAGAGGGAGAAGGAGAGAGAGAGAGAGAGAGAGAGAGAGAGAGAGAGAGTTTTAGAAAATCTTTCTATAATTTTCTCTTTCTCCTTTACTAAAATTAACATTGTAAATACTTATTAAGCACAATCTATGAATATATAATCTTTTTGTAATTATTTTGTTCATTTTTAATTTATCCTCCCCTCTGCCTTTTCTTGGCTACACTCATAAATATAGAGATTAATAAAAATAATTTCATCCTGTTACACACATTATAATATTCTTAATAGATACCTTATTCACTGTTGTGTGAATATATTCACATTGTTGAAACGTTACTGCGTTCACTCGAAATTAGCAAAATTCGCTGTCGTTTCATCCAGTCGCTACATTCAGAGTGTCGAAAAAGCCAGTTCACCGATTTATAATTTCACCGCTACAGTTCGCGCGTATGCACAGCACACAAAAACAATGGGTAAAAAATTCCCGATTACCGAGGGTAAATGAGATTAATTATCCGACGGACGGAATACGTGTGAGCGGCGTATCGCGCGTCACTCTCCACCGTGAGAGATGCATCGTGTGCCTAATTAAGCATCGAGAACATCGTTCGAACAGCCGAGCGCGTTTGATGTATTAATCGCATTAAGACACGCGGCGATGATCGGCCGTCCATCGTTATTATGTTTGAGTTACGTTAAGCGAGCAACACGTAGCGGTCACAATTTTATTACAATGCTCACGCGTCACTGGCGCGTCACGCGGCTCAACGGTTTTTCGTCTGACTAGTGCGTCGCGCGTCGTGCGATGTCACCTTCAGTGTCAGTCAACTGTTCTCAGTCAGTCCAATCGTCGGCCGTGTTTCATTTCATTGCGAGATGACGACGCGACGGGATCGTATCGCGCTTACCTGATCGAGACTCAACTCCGTAAACGTGTGTCGAGAGCGACGTTGAATCGAACGAGACACGAACGTCGTGTGTGTGTGGCACGTGAAATTAGCATCGTGTGAAATTAGTTGCGTGTGCGATCGTACGTAACGCGCGGCGCGATTAGTCTCTGCGTTTAGTTTCTCCGATACACTGAGTGTCCGTTATCGCCGCGTTGTTTATCGGACATTTCATCGTTGTACGCTTGTCGACGCACGTCGGGAATGTCGGAATAAGATGTCAATTAGATGGCAATTAAACGATGTTCCGCAGTTGTCGTCCCTTTCGTTTTCCGTTAGATTCGGAATGTGACGTCACCGCCGGCGCTTTGGTATGAAGTTGTTCGCGATTCGAATTTTTCATGCGCAGAAACATTCGAGTGCGCGTAACGAACATGGAACTGATGGAACGTTATCGAACGCCAGAGGCGAATAATCGTTGCGTTCCATTTCGCTTTGTTTGTTTATTTCAAAACGAGTCGTCGGTATAGTAAATTCGGCGGTATCACGTAAGTGATTGTCAGTAATTAGCCGAATGACCATAATTAACTATGTTTTCTCTATCGATTTGTATGCGTGTGTATACGTGTGTGCTTGGAACAATGGACAGTTTTGGAAAAGCTGAGTATTGATTGGTAAATATTTTATTTACTCATCTCTCGTATTCGCTGTTGTAATCATTTATTTATTTCTAATGATTTAGCATTATAATAATCGTGCTGACGAATATAAACATTTGTCATAGTTCTATCATTAAATGATTATATAAATATTAATCGCAAAACTTTACTTTTAATTAATTGTTATTCACTTATTTTGTATACGTAACAATGATTTATTTTACGTATTTTTGATAATAAATTTAAAAATTATTTAAATTTTTGTTTTCAGATTAACTTACGGCCTTATCACCGCAACCCCTTTGGACATCATTATGGTGAGTAATGAATTAATGTGAAACTGTGTGAATTATATATGTACTATGTAACTGAGAGCAAACTGTAGTTTTGTTCGCCAAAAAATTAGTTATTTTTAAATTGTTAGAAAGAGTTGGAGAGGGTAAAAATCTAAAGATGAGAGTAATACATTAACTCCTCAAAGTTAATCAAAATATATAAAATAGTTACTGACGTCGTATAAGATCCATTTAATTAATTAAATTAAAATTAATTAAATTTTATTAAATAGTATTTATTTATACATCTTATATATTTTATTATATATTCATAAGGCGATAAGGTATAATTCGCAAACAATTTGACTATATTTCATCAAATGAAGTTAACTGCAGACGTTTTGATTCTAGATTTGAATCCTCTTCAGTACGGTAATTAACAAGATCGATTACCAGTTTTCAGTTTGTCTATATCCACAGAAGCCTATATGTACGAACATTGTTCCAACCTGTGTAATGTTACTGCAATGTAGGTGGAATGTTGCTGCAGTATTGTTGGAGTGATCGGTACTGTATCAACTGAAAACATGTATTTTCAATCTTGCTAATTACCGCACTGAATATATTTTAATAATTCAAATATGCAGATATTACATAAAAAATATAATTGAATGGGTTCAATAGACCCTCCGTCAACTTTGGAGGATTAATATTTTGGGATTAGTATATATCTACATATTTAAAATGTGATATACAGAATATTTCAAAACTTTTATGAATCATTTTATAAAATTTATTATCATTTAAGTTATAAAATTATGTCCTTTATACAATTTATCGTAGGGATTATATGTTACTGAAACTCGAAATGGTGTATTGTTAACTGTGGCAAACTATTACAGTGTATTCCCTATTTACGAATTTTTTCCCCTTTTTCCATACTTTTTCTATTCCGTGGCTTTGTATGTACATTTAATTCACTAACGATAGTTGAACCACACAATCATTCACGGAAATACAAAAGTGTACAATGGCGAGCATTCGATTTTTATTTTATTTTGACGTTCTATTGTCACAATATCAGTTTGTCTTGTCGATTATATTTTGTGTTCGAATAGGATACAGAAACTCTCGGAAAATGAGAAACATACAATAGTTTAGTATTCACATTTTATATTATTTCAAGTGTAATTTCAAAAGGATCAGATCCAGTATATATCAAGATCCAAGATTATAAATATATGTTCACAAGAAAATATTACATATAATATACATAATAATACGAAACTTAAATATGTGTATAATAAAGATCTAAATCTAGTAAAAAATATATCACGGAATATAAGAGCAAGTAGAGCAGAAGTAGATTAGAGAAAAACAAAATAGGTATACAGAATTAACATATATATGAACATATATACAATATGTCTGAATCAAACTAAAACAGAAACAAAATTAAATGTATGTTAATTAATGTAGTTATTATGGAAATTATTTTAGGATATATGATAAAGTTAAAAACGTTAATAGCATGTTATTCGAGCAAATAATAAGTCGTTATCCGAAAACTGTTTTTTACGGCCGGAGGACGACTAACTACAGCTATCTATTATTTAAAAATTTCAAACATAATTATTACTTTATTTCTAATGTAAATTATTATAATATTTGATTTTGATTTTAACAATATTTAAAATTAATAATACATCTTTGCATATAGTGTGATATTTAAAATCTAGTATCTATTATAAATTTTTCCTGTTAATTATTATTTCTGATAAATTAGTCTATTAATTAATATATTATATTTACTATTACTCTGCGATTCATTATGCTTGTCGAGTGGTTGAATTGTAAGTAGTAAGTTTTACTTAATATTTTAACATGGAAAGGCAAATTTAATGTAACTTAATTTTAATTAAATTCAATTTTAATTTAATTGAAACCTACATCAACTGATTAGTATACGTTTCTCGCGTATCTTTCGCAAAAAGAAGTTTGTGGACATTCTGTATACGTGGCACGCAAGCGTTTGTATATCATTCGTCTCATCAGCCTGATTGGCTCGTTCCAATACATGCAAAACAAATGTCGCACGTTTTGATTAGAGTCCATGTGATTGTCCAATGCGAAATCCGCAATGTTGGTACCCGCCATTTTCATGTCATCCAACTTCCTACACGCGTTGTATTTACGTGTAAACCGCGATGGATACATTATGCTTATGCATTTTAGCTCTCTCTCTCTCTCTCTCTCTCTCTCTCTCTCTCTCTCTCTCTCTCTTTCTGTGGTCTCGTGCAATCTCCATGTTCTCGTACAGGTTGGTCAGAAATAGTCGGCAATCGATAGTAACGATAGGGATAGAAAAGAGAGTGCCGGGAGGGTCGCGTAATCTGATGCTGTAATCCGTTAGCTATTCTGAAAAGCCGATCACACAATAATTATGTCGCCATTTGTTGCAAGCTTTATATGAATGCACAGTGAATTACACACACAAACACACACACACACACACACAAAACACACACACACACACACACACACACACATATGCATACACATAAACACACATATGTGCGCACGCGTATGTTACTCTCTATAATTGTATACAATTTATAATTGTTAGATGTAATACACATAGTATGTAATGTGTTACAGAATGAAATACATAATCGAATATATCGCTTAATTAAAACGATTATTAGCATGAGTGCTGCTACCGGCAGTCGTGAAAGAAAATAGTTGAATATTATTCGTAACGAATTCCGTATGCATTAATACATACAGACGTTATCCCGCTTAACCGATTAATTCGTGCAGCAACGACGGACGGTTTAATCCCGTTGGATAATGACCGCCTGCATGTGCGGCATGAACGTCTGACGCTTAAAGCCGAGATGAAACTTCTGTGTGTAATTCCATTAATTGCGGCGTAAATGTGAGCCGGGAGAAATATCGTTACAGACTAAAATTTCTTTTTCACATAATGCATTTCACATATGCGTACACGTGCAATTGATGCGGCTGTTAGATAAATATTAATGTTTTCAAATGGTAGACATATTTTTTCCGCAATTCGATCGATGCATCGAAATAAGAGATGATGAGCACTTTCCTTGAACATATTTTACTCGAAAAATAAAAAATGGAGAAAATAAATTGTAATTTAAAATATAATATTTTTGTAAATACGTTAAGAGTATTGAAACATTATTTACTTTTAGAAATTTAATAAGATTTGTCATCAATTTTTTTTTTATCAATTTCCTATACTCTAAATTTCTTATAGTGAAATCTCACTTTAAGAGAGTGAAAATGCAACCACCCTTGAACAACAATGAAAATATTTCACTTCTTGAAAAAGAGTGACAATTTTCATTCTTTTTAGTAAAATTTTACCAGAAAAAGTGAGATTTCACTTCTTCGAAGTGAAAATTTACTCTAAAAAGAATGAAAATTGTCACTTTTTTTCAAGAAGTGAAAGGTGGTTGTATTTTCATTTTCTTGGAGTGAGATTTTGCTGCAAGAAATTTAGAATGTAAAAATTGTGCACGAGGGAAGATAATTTTAGCATGAAAATTAGGAAATAATTCGCTTGCTTTTTTAAAAATTCTATCCATATAGATATATTTTTTTCATGATGTGTCAATTATCATTACAATATTGAACGACTAAAACCATACTAATAAAATTTAGCGCTATTTTTAATATTAAATCCTTCCAAGCCACTAAAGAGAGTTTAACGATTGTCATACAGACATTTCTTTATCATCGAAGTTCAATTCTGGGATATTAACTATAATCTATGATTCCGCATGGTCCGCCGGTAAATCGTGCATTAGACCCCGAGAGTCAGCCGAGCGATTTTCTAACTCTCCGCTCGGGAGCTCGCGAGCGTGATCGGAGTTAACTCTCGAACTCGGTGGACCGCGCGAGGCGATAAAACACAAGTAATATCCAAACTCGAGTATCTATCGGTGTTCCTTATGCCGGTCGAGTACGCGTGGTCGCGCGATGCATAATATTCCATGACAAATGGCGGATACATGGAGACGTGTATACGTGGACGAAAGGTATGATGAGAGAACTGTGAAAAGAGAATGACGGCCGCAAGGCCGTTGGTATTTCTGCAGCATAACGAAATGATTATTCTCACAGCTGTACGATAGATACCACAGCGAGGAATTGTTCCGCGTTCCACGATTATACCGTCGACATTGCGATGTGTACGTTAGTGTATACAAGCCGATCGGATGAATCCACAACCTGCTGGGTATTACTGCATTAACCAATGGAGCCGGAGATCGTACGTGCTATCTGACCGAGAATTCCAATTTCGAAATCCACGGCCGTTCCTGAAACAAGATCAAAGTTAGATCGCGCCATCGTCGATCGTGCCGCAATTCGTGACCTCCTCACAATAGTGGCGCTTCTCCATCGATTTGTTTACATATTTTATTAATAAGATGAAATCTATTTGATCTGAAATCTTTGATATTCGAAAACCACAGTATTGCCTCCTTTTAATTTGTTTCTGATTTTTTTCGAATAGAAAGATGCTTTATTTATTTTATCGATATGTTTATCGATATTGATAGAATTATCTTCGATTTTGGTACGTTTTAATTTTTTATCTTTTTATTTTATTCTAAATATATGGAGAAAATATTATTATATCTATATTTTTTCAAATCTATATTTCTTTCAATTATTATGAATCATTGATTAAATGAATTTGCGGCTACTTTTTCGAGGTTGTCTGGTTTCGTTCTACCGTGTCATCACGCTGGTTTCGCGGTAAAGAGCAGTCTTGTGCAACGGGCTTTTGGGTGCACTGGAGAAGTGTCACCAGTGAGGTTAAGCGGACGACGGTGACTAACGAAGTCGTAGTCCGTTAACAGTGTTAAGCGCGCGGCACCGCAATTTACTGTTGCCACCGCCGACAAGACCGGCCTATTTCCGAGGGAGGCACGCTCCGTCATATACATACAAGTGACGTCCACTGTGTAATTGTTCATATGTGGATACATATCGTAGTATGT